AAAGGAGACCGGTACTTGTGTGAAGGAAAGGAGGTTCTGAGCGAAGTCGATAATGTAATGGTTCAACCAAGTATCGGACTTGGGGGTGTGATGAGTGGAAGAAAAAGGAACAATGAAAAGATGAAGAGAGTAAAAAAGGTTTTCGAGGTATGATTTATCGCTTGAATCGGAAAGGAAATTAGTGTTTAGATCTCCGGAAATGATTATTTTGGTATAAAGATGAACAAAGTTGAAGAGGGATGATTCAAATGACGGATCAAAGGGAACAAGAGGTGGTCTATACACTACGATATAAAGGATAGAAGATGTATCAAAGGAAATTTCAGCGATTAGGAACTCTACATGTGGGTGATCGGATGGAGGAGAGCAGTGGAGTATTCGGGTCTTCAGGCATTCGTGAACATACAACGCTACACCTCCGCCAGTCTGGCTCGTCCGGTCGTGGCGGATTAGTGTGTAGTTAGGAAGGGAAACAGATGTGGAAGGGATGTAAGGCTTGAACCAGGTTTCGGAAATTGCAATGATATGGTAAAAATTATGGGTAAAGTATTCAAGGAATTCATCATAGTGGGCTGGGAGGGATTGGGAGTTGACGTGACAAGTATTAAGGATGCTAGACATGATTAGGCTTGAGGAAAATAAAGTCAGAATTTGATGATCAGACGCTGGACCGGATATGATACATTAGATGAAATCCTGTAAAAATTGAAATATAAGAAAAAAACCCATTAAAAAGAAAACGATATAATATAAAAGAAATAATCAATAGAAATAAATTAATTAAAAAGTTGCAATAGGAACATAACATACAGTCCTGATTTTCTATTTGAGTCCAGTAAACTATGTCAAGTTTTTTGTCGGTGTTGAGAAGTAAACAGGGCTCGAAGTGTCAAACGAAGACATCTAGATCTTGACTCTGGTCGATAAAGACAATCTGATGACCGTCGTCCTTTCGACACCGCAGTCTGCCGCCGGAGAACCATATATATTTTATTTTCCCCGCTGCTTTCTTCTGCCGAGCGAACCAGTAAAGGTACCTGTTCGTCGGGGTCATTTCCTCGCTGAGATAGATACGGTGGCAGTCATTTTCCTGCCAACCGATTTCCTGCGTAGAAAAGTCCCTTTTTACTTTTCGCTTCTGCACCAGGTCGTCTCTCACTGACTGCCTGACGAATTTCGCGATGATAGGAGGTGGTCGCGGGTCATCTTTTCTTGCTCTTCGGCGATGCACAGTGTCTATATCTTTAACATTAAGTTTAATGCCCAGGCCGGCCCCAATGCTTGTAACCAGGGCTGCGGGGGTCTCACCTGCTCGAACTGGGATGCCCCGGATCTCGAGCGATCTACTAAGCAGGCCCTGTTCGGCTTTATACAGCCTGACCTCTAGTTCACCGACTCTAGATTTGAGGGCTTTATTTTCTGAGATTATCTCTTCAAGCTTCTTAGATTGTCCCTCTAAGTGGTTTTCAATTTTAGAATTTAGAGGAAGCCTAGAATTTACGTCGAAGCTCAGGTCTCCGTACTTGTCTAGAGCTACTTTAATATTTTTTAAATTCCTGATTAAAAAACTTATCTAGCTGCTTTACTGCTGCCAGAATTTCTGATGGTGTTGGCTCTGTGTTATGACTTTGATCTGGGTTTTCACCACCTGGTGGAATCTTTTTATGCTGAACGCAACCTGCGCATATTCATCCTTTTTTTGAGGATTTTTGGCCTCAAACTCTTTATCAGTGAGTTTACTGCACCTACTGTGAAATAATAATTTACATTTAGCACAACATAAAATATTTTTCTCTTCTCGAATGATGGTGCTACTGCATAGCGGGCATTGTGCCATATTGTTATTTAGTAAATAGATCGTACTTACAATAACATGCCGGGTTGTTATGATGCGTAAAAGCAACAGCAGCGCTTAATCTTCTAGAGCTCAGTTGTTTACCATTGTCCCGTAGCTCGTAATAGAATAATAACTTCGATACTTTCACTTTTCGATGAGTAGAGAGGAAATATGAAATTTCTATAATTTCTATTGATAAAAAATATTAAAAAGAAAAAAAAACCCGGCAGAAATCAAAGAAATTTAACGAAATAGGACACTTAATAATACAGAGGTATATTAACTGGTTGCTGTCTCTGGCCAGACTCTCTCCGATATACTCCGATCCTGCGGATTATTGAGTCAACCTCGTGACACTTTCTGTTCGCAACACCTCTTGTTTCTTTCATTCCTATCTCCTATAACTCATAAATGAGATCTCTAAAAATTTCTTGGAATTTTGGTTAATAATAATAATAATAATAATACTTTATTTATTCTGGGACAAGTCCCTTTAGAATAATACAGAAAGACATAAATATGGGCTAAGGAGCCTCAGAGATACATAAATAAAGATATAGAGTAATAAAACAGTCATAGTAATAAAATTGAAAATTATAAGTTACTTTCTAATTTTAATCAGTTAATAATTAAAATTAAAAAAATTAAACAAAAAGGATGAAGTAAAAATAATGAAGAACGAGCTAATAATTTATATACATATTTACAATTTCATGGTGACTGGATTGATAAGAAATCATTGAACAGACGGGATTTAAAGGTAGGAAGGGTATTAGATTGTCGAATGTGAGAAGGGATGGAGTTCCAAAGGGATGAGGATCGGATAATGAAAGATCTGTCGAAATCAGCGGTTCGGTGGGCCCTTATATATAAGTCAGAAGACCGGGAACGAGTATTACGGGAACGAACAGAGGATTTAAATTGAAGGAGCTCAGAGATGTATGAAGGACGGTGTGATTGGATAACTTGAAAGAGGAAGGATGCCAGGAAATGTTTACGACGGTAGGAAGGATAAAGCCATTTCAACTCTGCATAAAAATGGGAAACAGAGGCGTCCCTTTGTATCCCGATGATGAATCTTAGAAAGCAATTTATTAAACGTTTTAGTTTCGCCTCGAGATCCCCAGAGACGCCCCCATATACCGAACAGCAGTAGTAAAAGTGGGGGAAAATTAAGGAAGTGACTAGGAGCCGACGGGTTTCAAATGGAAATAGGTGACGAGAATAATTTAGACGTTTTAGAGTGGAAATGGTATGGCGGGAAATATTGGATACGTGGTTTTTCCAGGAAAGTGTTTGATCGAACGTTATTCCAAGGTTTTTTACGGTGGGGTAAAATTTGATGGGATTATAATGCAGGAACAGATTTGGAATATTAGGAACGGTTTTAAGGAGGTAATTGGAGCCTATTAAGATTGCCTTCGTCTTTCCCGCATTCAACTTCAACTTGTTAGTTCTTGCCCAGTCACAAATCCTATCAAAGTCTTCTTGTAGTTTCTCTGTGCCAGATATTAGGTCTGAGGGTGGGAAGCACAGGTATATTTGGAAATCATCTGCATAGATATGGTATTGGGAGTGACGGATCATGAGGGGAAGGTCATTGATGTAAATAGCAAACAGAGTAGGAGATAGAGAGTAACCTTGAGGGACACCACAGGAAAGGGGAAGGGTCTTAGATGAAGGTTGGCCTGGGACTACTACATACTGGGACCGATTTGAAAGGAAGGATTTGAACCAGCGCAGGGCACTGTTGGATAGAGGAAGATTGTGCAATTTCGTAAGGAGGATCTTATGGTCAACTGTGTCGAACGCTTTGGAAAAATCGAGAAGGATGAGGATGGTAAGGTTTTGGTGTCCGATGGAGTTTTGGAGGTCATGGGTTATTTTAAGGAGAGCGGATTGCGTTGAGTAACCAGGTCGAAAGCCAGATTGGAATGGGTTGATAAGGGAACGTTCTTCGAGGAAGTTGGAGAGTTGATTTTGGACAAGGCGTTCTAACGGATTTGAGAGGTTGGATACGAGAGAAATAGGACGGAAAAAATGCAGTGAGGAAGGGTTGAGAATTTTATTCAAAGGTCGGAATAGGGCGTTGTGTGGAATGGCCAGGATGAACAGTGTGGAAACACTGTTAACGAAGCATACACTCATGTCTTTATTTATTATTATTATTTTTTCCTACCATTCACCCCTTTTTCTATGTCAATAATAAAATGTTTATTTATTATATTTTGTAACAGTTAAGACACAATAGTTCAAGAAATGTATTTAAGTTTATATTGTTTATACATCGTTTGCAATGTATTATCGTACGTGTATACGCTCCAGCCCGGCAGTAATACCCATTCTTAAGGATCAAGACATCAAAATAATGGCATAACACTGCCGGGATGAGGCCGAAAGATCAGTCTGGGGCGAGATGTATTGGACGTCTACCCCCACCATTTTCACCAGCTCCAGTCTCATCTCATCTCGCCTGCGCTAGCCTAGCGCCGCTTTTAGGAGCCCAGCTGAGTCATCTCCAGTCATCGATCGAGATCGATATACATATCGATTCCCCTTCCATCGACTGCTGTCATTAGCTGTACAAGGTAACCTCGTTGGAAGCAGAATCTCCAACATGGCTCGTTTTTTTATTCTCACCATCATCAAGAGACATTTGAACATTCTTTATTTTTGTTGCCCCCGTAAATTAGTTGTATTCTTTTTGAATAGTTATTTTTTTCTCTTGGTTTTATCTACAATTTTGGAAGTTTATTTTTATATGTGTTTTATTTTGATAGACAATTTTTTTAAATTTCTCATTGAGTATTGTCTTTATGTTTTTAAATCTTTTATGTATATTATTTATTTCTTTTATTTTAATATAATAAGTATTGTGAACATTTTAGAAGGGGATTTATATTTATTTTTCCATTGTTAGTTTATTGAATATTTCTCTTTTATAATTTTTTGATGTGCATGCATTTTTCTCTCTCTTCTTTTACAGGTCTCATTTTTACTATTTTTCCCTTCTTTCCCACCATTTAATTTTTCTCGAATTTTCCCCACCTTTGAGAAAACTCACCGGGGAAAGGTTTGTATTTTAATTTTGAAGCAAACCTGGCCCCAACAATATATTTTAAAGAGACACATTTCATTATTTGTAGAAACTATAAAAATGTATTTATGTTACAGAAAAAATAGAAAACTCACTAGGTGTTCCAGCTTGTGAATGTCCACCTTTATCATTCTTTGAGGTCGATGCTAAAATTCCACTTGTACTGGTACTAGGACTTGCTAAAGGAATATCACCATACTTCTTTTCTTCTTCTCTAGCTCTATTGGGATTACATACGACCAGTGTGACTACACCTTCCGTTTTTTTTAGGAGTGATGCAGCCTGAAAATGTAACCATAAATAGATAATTCTGTTTTAAATATATACACTCATTTCAGAACAAAATGATATTAGAAAAGGATAGAAGAAAAACAGAAAATGAAAGGATATGATTTCACATGATATACAAAAATTAGGAAGCTTAAAAAAAAAGAAAAGAAATAATATGAAAATTGCAGAAATTAAAATAAATATAAGAGAGATGGTTTTGTAAGCATCTAAGGAAAGAATTAAACTGATTGTTGACAATGAAAAAAAAACACACACATATATATATATATATATATATATATATATATATATATATATAAAATGATTTATATATGTCTACAAAATACTGCCGATCATTATTTTATTATTATTATTTTCAAAATAGTCATTATTTTGATGCTTATTGATATTACTGGAAAGCATCAAGTATGAGATTACAAGGGAAACTATAATCAGGAAATCAATGATTTTTCTTTTTCTAATAGACTGCAATTTATAGGCATGTCCAATGCAAAAGAATCGCTTAAGGGATGCGGTCTATGCCTCTGAACTACAAATAATTGTTTTAAAAATATATCTATAACAATGGGAATTAAACACTTACAGTTTCATAGTTAGACCCCACAAGAGTATCCTTATTTACAGCTAAGATCATGTCACCAACATTAAGACCGGCCTGTATAAAAAATAATGTTTAAAGCCCGGTAAAATAAAAAATAAAAAAAAAAGTAAAAAAAATGAATTAAAAAAAAAAACAGAAAGTAATGATAGTTGAACAGATAATGTTATGCCATGTTCACAATTGATGAAAAATGACGATTGAAGAGTTAATGTTATGGAATGAATGAATTTCAGCATTAAATACCTGATGAGCAGCGCTTCCTTCTTGAATATCTGATATGAAAATACCTTGCCCAACCTCTGAATGTTTTCCTTCTATGATCATTATTCCCAATCCTTGACCACTATGCTATAAAAAGTAAATTTCAATATTAATATATTTTAAAAGTTTGGAAAATATTTTCATTCATATATTCTGTAATGTCTGATTCAAACAGAATAAAAATTAGGGTTGAATACATAGTCTACTGGTATTTTAAAATTATGAGGTTGACAAATAATCAGGATTTTCAGGTTATATATAGTTTATTAGGGAGAGGTTTTGATGAAAGCATCATGGTGAGGATGATTTGTTGTTAGGCCAGCCAGCAACCATTGCCCTCATGCTTGGCCAGAAACATCAGACTAATAAACCATATATAGACTGCAATTACTAATTAATTGTCATTCTCATAAAAGAAAAATTAGTTTGTGTTTCAAGAAAGAAATTCAAACCTGACTTCCAAAATGCTAGTTGTAAAAATAATTTATAACTCAACTTTAAAATAAAAGTCCATTTAAGATTAAAAATTAACTTCAATATTATCTTGTTGATGTAAAAGAAAATATAGACTTAAGATACATATTTCCATCCTACAGAAATGTTTTCAACAATTGACTTCAAATTAAAACTATAAGGACGTTTTTTATTGGGTATGACTATTTTCAATTTATATGTATGATAATTCTATTTAATTTTAACAATTAATTCTATTTAATTAAACATGAAATCTTACAGGATATGAAAAGTGATGTGGAAATCCTGATGAATTTCTTGAAAAAAAAAATCTGATGCTCGCAACACACATCTATCACATACCGCTCTACTTTGAATAGAAATTATTTTATGAAAATGTTGGGCAATTATAAAATCTTTTAAGCGGAGCTAAAGCTTAAAGCATACAGATAACAAATCATTAACATCATTAAAATTACGAAAAGTCTATTTATTATATCAACTGTAAGCAATAAATATCTAGTTTCTCCATCTACTTTTACAAACCACACAACTTGAGTCTCTTAGCCCTTCCGTTGACAGAATGATTAACTAAAATTTTAATATTTCTGAGTAATGTCATTTTAGTGATATTTCTAATTGGAAAAGTTATGTCTATACAGACAGTCAGTTGATTCCACAGTAGGTGATCGCAGTGATGGAATATAGAACTGTGAATAAAGATATAAATTTTGCCACTAAAAACATCACTAAAATTAATAATAAAGAATTTTGAAATTGGAGCTAGTCATTCTGTAAACCTAAAGGCTCATATGTACCTAGAGAGATTTGAAAGTACATCTAAATATTTAACCAATAAATCATTACAAATTGTAAGACAATTAGTTATCAAACAATTTTTCATCGTAATGTTTACTAAAATGATATTACTAGATTTTCATTGCATGCCATCGATAGGTCAAAAGTTGTCACAATAATTGTAAATGGATAACGTTAAGATTTCACAAAGGGAAAATTCATCAAATTATTTAATAATTAATTTTCTATTTCAATTATCAATAGCCCTTATTCCTAAACCATCTCCACCGTCCTACATCAGAGGCCCAGTTTCATCAAAACCTCTTTCATCAAACCCTTTCCGATAAAACTGACCTCAGAATAACCCTGAAAATCCCAGAAGACCTCGATAATGCTGTAAATTCCTTTACCACCACTATTCATCAGGCAATCTGGACTGCTTCCTTCCCAAATCTCTCCTCGAAAATTCCTAATTTACCTCAATACCTGCAGGACCTAATTCACATCAAACGCCGTGCCAAAATATTAAGGCAACGTTCAAGAAACCCCACCGATCGTTGCTCTTATAATTATTTCACTAATAGATTAATGCAGGAATTGGCCAGCTTCCATGGGCAGCGAGGCCGATGGGCACCGCCTGATGAAGACAAAGCTGATGAATTCACCAGACACCTCTCCAGAACATTCACCTTACATCCGGAATCCAATCCCACCCATACCACAACAGTAGAAGAATTCCTTACATCACCCATTCCACTTTAGTTACCCCCTAAAGCAGTTAATCTGAGGTCAAACATCACTTACAAAAACTTCCTCTCCCTAAATCTCCTGGATACGACCTCCTTACCTCCCAAATCCTTCGACAACTTCCTCCTAAAGCTGTTATATTTCTCACTTACTTATATAATACCATCCTAAGAACCACCCACTTTCCTCTTTTGTAGAAACATTCCACTATTATCCTGTTTCCAAAACCAGGCAAAGCTCTCAAGGCCTCGGCGTCCTACAGACCAATTAGCTTTCTTCCAATCCTCTCAAAAATCTATGAAAATATCCTCCTGAAACGAATCCTGCTATTTATAGAATCCCAAAAACTTCCTTCCCACCAGCTCGGATTTCGTTCACAACACTCCACAGTCCAATAAGGACTCGAGTGGTCGATCATATTTCCGCAGCACTAGAAAGCAAGCAATATTGCTCGGGTGCATTTCTGGACATAGCTCAAGCTTTCGACTGGGTATGGCAAGCTGGGCTTCTTTCCAAGCTGAAAACCCATCTACCCTAATTCTTGTACCTAATCTTCCGCTTCTACCTCTCTGATCGCACCTTCCGAGTTCGCTGTGGTATAGAATTTTCCAATTCCTACCCAGTTGAAGCCGGTGCTGCTCAAGATAGCATCTTGGGCTCCGTCTTTTTTTATATCCTTTTCACCGCTGATATCACTGTCCATCCCGATACCTTCCTGGCAACAATTGCTGACGACACCGCCATCCTATCATCCAACTCAGATCCCGAAATAGCATCTTTAAATCTGCAAAGACACTTCTCCCTGATTGAACACTGGTGTAATAAATGGCGCATCAAAGTAAACTAATCCAAATGCAAACACATTACCTTCACACTCCGGCGCAGGTCCTGTCCATCAGTCCACTTTAATTCCATCCAGCTTCCTTTTTCAGACACAGTCCGGTATCTTGGCTTTCTCTTAGACCGAAGACTAACGTGGAACCCACATACTAGACTTAAAAGACAAGAACTTAATCGACGATACGGCCAATTATACAGACTACTGACTAGAAAATCTCAACTTTCAATTGACAACAAATTACTGATCTACAAGACAATCCTGAAACCTATTTGGACCTACGGACTTGAACATTAGGGGACAGCAAAAGTTTCTAACATCAAACGCATCCAATCCTTTCAGTCCAAAGTCCTCCGAACAATAGTCGATGCTCCGTTCTATAGGATCAACAACCGTACACCAAGACCTTAATATCCAATTTGTTCTCGACCTTATCCCTAAAAATTTTTCCAAATTCCATCAGAATGTTATAAATCATCGAAATCCCCATCTAGTTCCACTCATCCCTACAATCCTCCTCGAAGGTTGAAGCGGCAGTGGCCCAGAGATCTTTTGTAGTATATATCTTGGAGTTCTGGCAATGGCCAGATTCTCCACTCAAGACATGAGTGTATGTGGCTAAAGCGCTCTCTCTCAAACTCCACTGGCTTTAGCACCAGTGACGCGGTTGAGAGAGTAGCGCAGGGATCTCTTGGAGTCCTGCTTTTCCTTCTATAGTTGGGAGAAGCCTGGCTTGAGGTTCCCCGCCTGATTGTATATATTGTATATAGGTATGACTGTGTTTTTATGTTTTTAATTTACTTATCTTTAGGTTATTTTATATTTTATTGTACATATTATTTGTTTATTTAGTTATTATTTTACTTGTTTAATTTTATATTTTCTGTATATATGGTGTGAATGTGTTCATATATCACTATAATTATTGTCCACATGACAGGTTATTATATTTCTAAATAAATAAATAAAATAAAAATGTTTCTAATAGGTCACTTGATGATTTTTTGGAATAAACGGCCAATAGATACCTAATTATTTAAATATAATATCATATCTAAAGTTATTAAACTATAGTAAATGTATTTGAGGTTATGAACATATCCATGAAATATTTTTGTATTTTACTTCTTCTTTGACACAAGTAGAGCGAAATAGTATTGATGTGATTCGGTGGATTTGAAATACTTTTTTCTCAAACTTAGAAAAAAATTTAAAAGCTTACATTTAGTAAGAAAATTTCATTTAATTTCATTAGAAACATGTGATTTACGTAAAATAAGGTTAGTTTTCTGACATTATTATTTATATTTTTTGTCTTTTCTCTGCGTTGCCATCTACAATTTTATTTTTTTCATATTATTTTATTCTGAAATGTCCAACGATATATTATACGTATACCTTCTGACTGCTGCTCATTTTCAATCTGGATAAGCATTTTTATTTTTTTCTCCAGTTTCCAATTATCATATTCTTTCTTTTTTTTTTTTATTTCGTAATGACATTTACAACTGTATTACATAAATACATCAAGTAAATTTGGACATAATAGATATAATGACATGAATACACTTGTGAGTAACTACCCAATGGTAGCACTCTAATGATATGACTAATTAGGAGATCACGGGGCCATCTTCTTTTCAGACGCCTCGGAGGGTTATCAGGAATTGAAGAGGAAGCAAGGTTAGAAACGAGAGGGTTGGGATGATTCTGAAGTTTATTATGGAAGGATAGGTATCTGGATTGGGCCAGATCTGAAACATAAGGAACATTAAGATCTTTATGGATAATTTTATTAGTGACAAAGTAAGGAGCATTGAGGATTTTACGAAGGATTTTGGATTGTAAGGATTGGATGCGAGAGGAATTCGATGGTTTAGTGGAGCCCCATAGCTCAACTCCGTAAGTCCAAATATGTCTTATTATAGTCAAGTATATGAGTCTTTTGTAATTAATGGGAAGTTTAGAGCGTTTGTCTACTAAGTGCTGAAGTAATCGGAAACGTCGAGCGGTTTCTTGTCGTTTCAGTCTAGTATGAGGATTCCAAGTTAGTCGTTTGTCCAGGTGGAGTCCTAGTCATATTCTTTCAAACTTTACATTTATCCATTTTTTATAGTTACTGTAAATAAAAGAGATTTACTTCCTTTAAATAAACCATATTAAAGGTACTTTAGAGGAAGACGTATACGAACATTGGGCATTTAATCCCTACAAAGTGATATCAATG